GTCACATTTCACTTTACCGTATTAGTCTCTGATTATCATTAATTTTAATTCTGTATATGTGTTTTAAGCGCATCCTTTATGTTCATCCAATATCTCATTTGGATTAAAAATTGTATTCCAATTATGCTATAATAAAACTCCTATGAGAAAACAAGAGCAATAATAACTCGAATATTCATCAATTCATAAACGTTTCTCCTTGTGATATATAATGACATATGCTCGTAAATTACACGACAAGTACATTTTAATAAATATTTCATATAGTAAGAAACGCTATAAAAATTCTGCAGAAACTATATTGGACATATGCAGGTGTTAAAAAATATTCGACGTATGTCTGTCCACAGATGGCGCTGTTTTCAAAACTGGTTCTTTAGACATATATATTGATACACTGTTTTGGGAAGTGCGTACACTTCGAATTACATTAAAATGTAACCATAAGTGTTTAAGTTTACGTTTTCCGATATTAACAACATTGTAGCAAAAACGTTTTATTTAAATTACATATATGCGACTTTTATCTTTGCCGCTGCTTTTTTCCTTTTAGATTGTAAAGTGTACGGGCCTTTTAAGGCTATTTATTATGGTTTATATTTCGTTACAGTATAATGTCAAGCGAATGACTGTATGGGACCGAAATCTATACACCCAAGTTCACTTGCTATGTACCAATGTGATAAAACAGTTTTACGATTTTCGATTTAAATATGTTCAATCCAATGTTCTTACGGTGATGAAAAACATCGTAATGTAAGCTACATCGTGATTGACGCACCTGGTTGATGGTCTAGTCACTATGTGTAGTGTATACGACTCTTCGCTACATTTTATCTACTTAACTATAATTACCAAGAAGATACTTTTTTACTGTAAAATCTGTGATAAACCTAGGGGCTAGGCTATAGGCCGACTACAAGTTTTGTCTCATAATATGATTTTATCTCAGAATTAGCTATTGCTCGCAACTTTGTTGTCGTGTAAAATATACAGCAGAAGATATAAAAATAAAATACAGAAAATAAGTTAAATCGGCTTAGTGGTTTTTGAGTTACATCAATACAAACAAAAATACAAGTGCCCCTTAATAATATTACTCTAGATAATTTAATGGTAATTTGAGAAACATCGACACTCTAAATAACTATTAAACCGACAAAACTGCCGATGTTATTTATAGTACACACAAAAATAACTGAACTTGAAGGCTCGAAACACGTTAACCACAATGTAAACAGAACAATGTTACAGCTTTATAGATTTCTGTCTGTATTTTGTAGATAGCTAGTAAATAAACATTTTTAACACTGTATAATTAACTAGGCGTATAACATTGCATATTCTAATATCTTATTTATTATTCTCATTAGTATAACTTATATTCATTTATGTAAATAATTTGAAAATCACACTATTCAGATAGATAACCTCTTAAAGACAAGTCATGTAGTTTTTTTGGCGCTTATTTTTGACGTCGTCTGTAAAATTATCCTGTATTCCTTTTAGTAAGAGCGCACACGTTCGACTAAACTATCGCACTACTGTTGTGCGATTGTCGATTGTTTCGCAGCCAATTCAACTGTTAAGTTGCACAACTAAAAATCGAGTAGTGTGCGCACCTCCATAGGAGGTCATAGGAAACAAAGCGCGACTAAACAGTTGTGCGATAGTTTAGTCAAAGGCGCGCTCTGAGTTGATCAAATTACTGTTGAATGACATTACTGTAATTATAATAGGTAGACTCTAAAAAAAGATTTTAAACCAGGAATTAGATCGAGAAGTGAAATCAATTTGCTGAATGACGTATCGTTCAGAATCTGATATCCTTGAGATCGATCTAAAAACAATTGTAATTAGGTAGTTTGAATGAAACGGAATTTAAAAATAGATTCTTCATTTGATTTAGCGATCTTTAGATAAGTTTGCATCAAATAGATTAATATTTTAATTAAAGTTATCTCTGATAAGCCGTTTCGGTTCGAGATGGAATATAGATTTGGACTGTAAATCCGAATGTATACTTTGGAGTCGGTATATAATTAGGCTCTGACCGAATGGTCGGTGACCACACGACCCTGCGAACGAAATGACAAGGTTGCTTTGCTTCACGGTTTAATTGATGGTCTGCGCACGCGCAGATTACAGTCCCGATTCTAACTGGCGACATATTAATGTCAGAAATTACGGTTTTATTGCGAACAAGAATGTTTTGATGTCTAAATTGAAGGCAAAAAAATATTAAATTTTGCATTAGTACCGAAGAAAAGAAATTAAAAAGACTGACCTTTTAACTGTGAGATTTAAGATAATTTTAGTATTTTCTTTAAAATCTTGTTCCCTTTGAATAAAAAATACTGTCATACTAATATTATAAATGCGAAAGTTTAGATGGATGGATGTTTCTTAGAGTTTGTAGCCTAAACGGCTGAACGGATCTTGATGAAATTTGGCATAATTGTAGATGATAGTATGGAAGAACACATAGGCTACTTTACTTTTGTTTTTTTTTTTTTATCAATTCCGCTCTCTCAATCGCGGGCAAAAGCTAGTTTGGTAATTCAAAAATGAAACATAAAAACTTCATCAATCATATCTGATGAAACATCAAATCATTTTTAATTTCACAATTATCACGTATCAACATTATGTATTAAACAAAAACAAGTCATCAGATTACGTAGTGTTCCTGTTTATATCCAGGGGCCATCTCGGTGGTGCGCGGCGTGCGCTATGCCCACGGCAAAAACCCAGCGCCGACCACGTCGCGGCATCCCACCCTAATAACTGACCATATCCGATGCGCCCGCTTTTTGCAAACAACTTTTATTTCGTACTTCGACTAAACAACCACCATCATTAACTATACAATTAAACTTTACTAGAAATCTTTTAGATAATCTTCATTGGAACGTACTCATAGGATTGTCGTTGCAACTTTGTTTGAGAAATAGTTAAGTTCTAAATTGTACGGGGGCCAAGCACGAAAATTAGATAAATGTTCTTTTTTTTATTATATATAGTGGCAAACGAGCCAGCGGTCACCTGAATCCGCCAAAATGGCGAAGCGACCGCTGCCCATAGACATCCGCAATTGCAGATGCGTTACCTACCTTTAATCGACGAAGGAGGAAACGCACATAAAGAGGATGGCATGAGGCACCTCCTCCGTCTTTTCTAATAAGAAAAAGGATGGGAAGGAAAAGGGACCAAAGTTGGGCCTCCAGCACCAAAAATATTTGCCTTCATAGTACGTAAATTCCCAGTTTAAACAATTCTTATACAAATTTTTTAATGGGATTATTATCCCTATGTCAATATTAATAAAAAAATAGTTTTATAAAGTTTTTACATAAAGAATGTATATGCCGATATAATATAGTAGTCATCCATTCGACCATAATTTAGGTGCAATCTAAGAATTATTAATTAACTAGTGCTAACTCCATGTTAACTTTAACTCTGTTAAATTTTACGTGAATCTCTTGAGGTAATTAACTTAAAAAGGGGTGCAGTTTACTTATTTTTAAATACTATAAAAACAGACATAAACATTCCTTTTTATTGTACTAAACTTTAAATTTCATAGCCAATATCACACGTGTTAATGATATATTTTATTATTTCTCAGATATGTAGATTTCCACGACATTTCCGATAATTTACTTCATCGTAAAACGGGTGCTAATTTACTTTATTGAATTGCAAATATGAAAATTTATTCCATCATTCGGCACCTACATTAAAAACATACTAATTTTTTTACGCGAAAGTTTAAATGGATGGATGTTTGTTAGAGTTTGTAGCCTAAACTGCTGAACGGATCTGGATGAAATTTGGCACAGATGAACAGCATAGTCCGGAAGAATATGTAGGCTACTTTCCAAGTTTATTTCTTCATTCTGCGCGGACTCTGTCACGAGCAAAAGCTAGTTTAATCATAAACAGGAAATATTTATAATATAGGATGATTTTAACAAATAAACTCATCAATTACAAGTGGTATTGGTTAAAGAGAATAAAATAAAAAGACCATTGAAATACTAAAATTATCCCTGGACAAATTTAATCCTTAAATGTATGAGATGCATTTATACATCAGTCTTTTCTTCTTTACCCAATAGGTTGTTTTGAAAAAACAGTTATTTTTCTTTTTTTTTTTCTCCTTATTCTATGTTCTATTTACTACCCGTTTCAATTTATGGTATTTAAAAAGAAAAATTCGTGCATTTAAGGGTTAATTGTACTGTACTGTACTAACTATATTATCCCAAAAATGTTATAGTTAGACACTGTTTAGTTATACGCGTGTTTTGAGTCTTTGATCTCCGCTGATTTTTATTATGGACTCAAAAGTTATATGTTGCAGCATAAATATGTATCACCATAATACACTGCTTTCTTACGCATTTCGAAAGCCTATGCTGAATAATAGTTCAATAACCATGATTTGTCAAAAATCCGCGACGGGCGCTACAGTCGCGGTATAAAAGTGTTGACGTAAATTCAAGCTAAAAGGTATTTGAAACAATTTCTATTTTTTTATGGTTCAACCTTACAAATGTAATCAAAAAAGGTCTTTGGTATCGACTTAACTGTAAACAAGTCTCTTAATTTTATATTATAATGATACAGATTGCTTGAAATGCCTAGGAATTAAATAATCATTACCTGAAAAGTCCTACCTTGGGAAAGAATTTTTGGTGATATTGCTGGTCAGTTTATAGTGCTTTTATGCTACAATAAAATTATTCAAATACTGAGTTATGTTATCACAACAACTAACAACGTTAAATACAAAATACAAACGGCAACCGTAACTATTGCCTATTAAAATAAAAATTTACACAAAAAACGCTGTCATTTTAAAAGCGACGAATACTAATTTCAATTTTTAAATTACAAAGGAAAATAACGTTAATAACATAAAAATCACATTAAACATACAAAACTTTGCTAAAGTAAACCGCAACATAACATACAAGTTAAAACATACTTACCGATAATAAGGAAAAGCTTGAGGCACATGGAGGTCCATTGGCATGGAGGCATGCGCATGTGCATGCGTGTAGTCATGCTGCATCATGCCATGCATGCCATGACCCAGCATGGCCGCCCAGGGCGAGGCCGCAAAACCGCCCGGGTGCTCCATCCTAACCACACTTATTGTTCCATTTTCTAACACTATTTGTCACTTATGTTTTTTTATGTTTCAATCTTTTCATTTTCAATTGTTTTTTATGAGTTTCACGTCATTTATTTTTGAATTTGATTGTCATTTCTTTTGTTTCAATCGTTTTGTTTGAACACTAAAGGTAATTTCTTATCCTAGAGAAAAATTGTAAACGACAATGCACTATAGTAGTGAAAAATTAGCTCTACTTGCTCGAAGTAGTCGAAATACACTAGGTACAGTACAAACGTTAGATGTGGGTGTTTATGAACCATAAAAACGACAAACAATTATGAAGATAATTCAGCAACTTTATATATTTGCGGTGGTAAAAGCCACTATAAGGGATTTGTCGAGTCATTAATTTGGAGTTAAGTGTACACTCAAGCACCAATATAACCGTACGCGTTTTAATTTGTTTACACTCATGAAGGTTCGAACATTTGATATGTTGACACAGTACGTCGCAAAGACGATTGTTTTCGTGGCTGTACCTTCTATTAGTTAAGACGATGTTTGCTCGAAGCTAAAATATTTATTGAGATGGTGTTTTGTTAACCTCAAGGGATTACGGGTTTTTATTGTTTGTTGAGAAATAACACCTGTTAGGGAGATGCGGTAAAGGTTCCGGTGTCAATAACAAGGAATTTATTTTATTTTATTACTACTTTTACAAATGCAAGCAAACGTTTGCTCGTAACATCCGCATTATTAAACTTTTCATTTTTTTTACATTTACAAGGATATATAAAATTCTCTCCATTATCTCTTATAAAAGAAAATTACGTCTAGTAGCTGCATACTAATAAAAGTAAAAATTTTCCACAGTCGCAACGACTTTTCTAATTAACACCATACCCTAAATTAGATTTATTTATTAAAATTTTCTAACTTAGAATTTTTTAGAATCACGATACACACAAACACACATTTATCACATAAAAAAATCACATTTCAGTGTCATCACAACCGGGCGAACCTGCTGTCACTGCTTTAAAAAAATAAACGTCAACTGTCAAAGTTTTCCCGCGCCCGCGCGCCGCCGCGTTCTGAAACGCGCGTGTTGTGTATTTACATGCATTTTGGTTAGACGCGCGACGGTGGGAACACGTGTGCCCGGTCTGTCGGTCCAGCGGTCATTGAGGATCTGCTATCAAAACTATACGGCGTGCTTGGATGTGTGCGCCGAACCGGCCGGGGCGTACGCCGGGCATACAAAACAAGCTTCGAACTATACGCTCCGACTTGCCTGCTAGGGTGACCATGTGCTAGGAACAATTCCCTTGTATCGTATTACACGAGTTTTTTAGCGCATTTACTTGAAACATGTAGCCATGCTAGTAAACTAAATAACAACTTGTGATGACCGAGAAATAAGAAAGAAATCTCATTCCATTAGTTTTTAAATAGGCGAAAAAACTACTTTAGTTTTATAACTTGAAATTTAATTTAGCTTGCAATTAGTCCATAACCTTTGAGTTCCACCTTTTCTTTTGGGACATTAAATAAAATGGACATCTTATGTAAACTGTTATAACCTTATTTAAGAAAATTCTAATACGGTTTTGACACTATTTTTTAGCAAAATTCTGTACATATTTGCAAAAGTGGAATGGTAGTCCTATGCGGGACGTGCTGTCGAATTTCCGAGCGTCACGTCGTCTGTAATTGGGTTACCTTTACGTGACGTTGGCTTACGTCACGTCGTACAAACACGCTCTCGGAGGCGCCCTAATTATAACTTTCGCTAAAATCTTTTTTGAGGTTATAAAAATTGTAACAATTATGTTACAGTGTGTAAAAAGTGTGGGACAATTAATTCTCTTTTTATAATCATAGGAATTATTAAAAAAAAAAAGATAACTATAAATAGATAAGATTATTCCGCTATACAAAAAGTGTCCGTTTCACACATTACTAAAATAACATAGCTAATAAAAATGTCTACGAATCAGATCATAACTTTTTCCCACGTCTTAAACCTTTTGACCTTGAATATTTCGTGTGTCACTGGCATAATTGTCGTGCAATTTAGCATGCGTTCAGTATAATTTGAGCTCTAACGTTTCTCTAGCTCCATAACACATACACGTATTTTAACAGTTTCTTAGCATCTACTTAAACTGGTTACATGAGTAATAATTGCGTGGAACAAAGCTGCGACTAAACATAACGGTAATAAGAAATGTTAAAGTTGACCAAAGCGAGAGAAACCGTTTTACGAAATTACCGCATTAAAGAAAAATGTTTTGCGGCGAGCTTACGTCAGTTTTTTTTCTATGCATAGCTAAGTAATACTGTCTAAGTCAATAAGAACATAGTTACATTAAGTATAGCTTTTTCTATGAGAAAATATAAAACTTCTAACGCAGATTTAAAGCCATTGTTTTTTCCATATTTAAAAACTTTATTAACTGCTTTAAATGATGCATAAAAATGTATTAGAAAATATCTTTCTTTTTTAAAAATATCGCGTAATTTATCTCAAATATTTTTAAAATTCGTATACTAAAATTAAATTGTATAATCCTAACGCTCTTCAAAGATATAAATCTAACTTCCTTATAATAAATAGTACTTAACGCATCAGCATATGCACTCGTGCAATAAAAGGGGTGGCGACTGACTTAATAAAAATGTCTCGGAAAATCAAAACTATAAATCAACTTAGCACCCTTTCGTCCGCTTGCCCGCATACATTTTACCACTTAAGTTATTTAGCATAATACTTAGTTTCTACATATCAAACTTGAATATATTCTGTACTCAGAAGCAATTTATTTAATAAATGCCTTTTATGAAGTACTAGTTGTTACCCACGAATTCTTTGGCGTGAAATTGAAATATTAAAAAAATATACCCATGTTACTCACTAATTACGTAGCCCTTTTTATGGTGAACAACTTTTTCGGGAACAAAATGGGCTCAATAGTTTTTAAGTTATTTTTGCTCTTTATAATATTAGTATAGATTGAAATAATCTAAGTTGTAATTTATAACTTCAAAACTACTCATGGATATAAAATTTAAGAAAATATAACAAAAACATTATTTGTCAGAATCAATAAATATTTCAATACACTTAAAACACTAACATTTAACTACAAATAGTTACTATCAATAAAAAGAGTTTTATGTAACTATAAAATAAATACTTAACGATCTACATTAGTTACTCTGCACACTTTTTCTTGCCTAATCGTACTTAAGTTAATTGCTAAGACAATTTAAAATATAAATTACCAGTCATAAATATCCATACATTAATGTAACGATACTAGTTATGGGTAGGACTGAAACAACTGTATACGAACGGCTTCGATTCAAATTTCGAACGCGGGTTGTGATTGGCCGGCGGACGCGGACGAGGCGTTGGGCGACTGCCCACGCGTATGGGCGTGGACAAAGTGTGAATTCTGCTCCAGTGATTGTAATAAATTAGCTTAAAAGTTACAGAACAACGTAGCTGTGCTACGCCGTAGCGATATGTTGTCTATAACACAAAAGTTCAACGCGTCCAGTCATTCCATCGAAGTAAATATTAAATTAAATTATTTAATATAAACTGATATCTTTGAATTCGTATTAAATTCTAAAAGCAATTTAATATGAATGAAAATTACAATGAAGAACAGATTAAATTATAAATGTGTTTAAGTTTCATTATAAAAAAAAAACATAAATAGAAATAAAAAAAAACTAAAACCACTTCATCGATACGTGAAGAACTTTTAAGAACAAACCTAAAACCAGCATTTGATCGACATCTTAATATTTCAGACTGGCTGACGTTGACCTTCTATACACTAACTAACTTATCTTTATTCGTCTTTATGCAAAATTCACCCTTAACGTTATAACTGTAAGGTACTTCACAATTGCACCCTTAAGTTGGTATAATCTCACATTAGGTATTCGAGAGGCGTACGCGGCGATCGATAAAGCCTGCCTTTGAGATGAGATCGGTCTGAACTGATGGAACAGTACTCTCATACTTTACAACTGTCTTCATCTAATACAACAAAACAACATTATCATGTAACAGATATTACACACTAGCTGTTGCATGCGACTTCGGCCATGTGAAATTAAAATATAACCTATGTTACTCAGTGATAACGAAGCTTTTTGAAGGTGAAAGAATATTTGAAATCGGCCCAGTAGTTTTTGAGTTATTTCAATACATACTAAAATCTAAAAAATACTAATCATTCCGCTTTATAATATTAGTACAGATATAGGTTAATACATAGTATATGCGACTAGCTGTCGTCCGCGACTCCTACCACGTGAAATTAATAAAAAAGAAGTAAGTAGCCTATGTGTTCTTCCAAACTATCCCCTACATCTATGTCAAATTTCACCAAGATCCGTTTAGCAGTTTAGGTTATAAACTCTAAAAACCATCCAACTAAACTTTCGCATTTATAATATTAACTACTTATACCTAAAATATATCCCATTTATTTTAGTAACTGTAGGGTTTGATTTGAAAAGTCCTTTGATCGAAAAAGGTCAAGGTTACAAGGACAGGGACCTGCTAAAACGTGGATTCTCTAAAAACTTTTTGAAGACGCTTTACCCTTATGCTTAACACTTAATTGAAATGTGAGTTAATTATTAAAACAGGCGTTTAACATCTAATAATATAGAAAACTCGCTAACTTTGTATATATTAAAAATTATTTTATTGAACTAATAAATTTTCTCATAAGTAAGTCTGTTTAAAGTCATTTACAGGCGATCCGTCCCAACTTTGCCTGGATTGCAAAGAATATAGGTCTCTTATCTTTTCTGTCATATCCATACCCTTCCCGATAATGTAAAATGTACCTTATGGTACTCAATATAGCTTTCTAATGACGGAAGAATTTTTGAAATCGGTTTGGTAACTTCGGAGGCGACTCTAAGCAAATAAACAAATAATCATATCTTTCCTGTTCATAACGTTAGCACAGATAATCAAGAACCCTATGAAAAATAAGAAGATATCCTTAGTGGTCTTAGTGATTCCAGATAGTAATCTATATCTCTTTGTCAAATTTCATTCAGATTCGTTAAGTACTAAACACTTTAGCATTTAGTAATTCCTCTTTTATAATTACAGTATTAGAGCAGAATGTTATGTTTCGCGATTGTCTACGGCCCGAAGGTTTCGCGGGTGCTCGGAGGCGTCTGCGTGGATCGATAGTGGGACGTGAGGCGGGTACCAACGCCCGCTTCACGCCAACACTTAAGTCCACGCTTTGAGTTAGTTTCACACGAAGGTAGTACAGTAACGAACGGTATAACAGAACAGTGTTTGACCTCATAACGCTTATGTGCAATAGTACAATGTTAGTAATGCATACAAGTGCAGAGAGATAGTACAGTGTAGTACTGCTATTGTATGAAACAATATTGTTTTTACTGTAAGTGCGCGTAACAATAGCAGTATTGCAATGTCGGCTACTCTGTGACACTGTGCTGTCCTCGTGAAAAAGGAGTGCTGAAAAAATTACTTGAATACTTCAACGCTACCCTCAACTACGCGACTTAAATCATTTATAATGTACTTAGCTATTGAACTTGGCAATTGATCGTAATTATGTTGTTAAACAACTATTGCGTATTCTTATTAATACGACCAGATAAAACTTGCTTTTCTTTTTAAAATCATTGAGCATTGAAGTAAACTTTTAATTTATGTTTTTTAGGATGTACGAGTATATGTCCTTTTTTACGTTGTAATAACCTTTTTAAGCAAACAGTAGCATTGGATTGGATGGATAACATTGCATTGGATATAGTTGACATTGACAAATCCCTAAAAACTAGTGGAATTTTTAAAATTCTTATTCAAGATTTCTTATAAGAATCGCTAGGTCACCGACCTTAGAGCGGCCATCTTGTGTACTAACCTACATCGTGACTTTGTAAAGCTAAATTAACTTGCAATAATTTCTTCTGCAGTTTACATTATTAATCTTGCTACCACTCGACTTTGCAATAAGGCTCCACGCGGCTAACGGATCGATAATCTTAAAAACATAGCTCTCCTTTTACAATACGCATTTACTTAAATAATCCATAAATCTCGCACTCTCCGGCCGTAATAACAGAATTCACAAATTCAATCAAAAAAGACCCCTGAATATATGAAG